GGGGGTCACAGGGCAGCAGCCTGTCACCTTGTTGCAGAGGCGGCAGTTGGGACCAGGACTCCTGGGTCCCTTTCCCTGCGTGGGGAGGGGGACGGAGGTGTCACGAGGGGCCCATCCCTGATTGTCCCAGTGTGTGTGTCCCCCACCCCGCAGAGCTACGCCAAGGTGAAGACGCGGGCGGAGGTGCGGGGGGGTGGCAGGAAGCCGTGGCGGCAGAAGGGATCGGGTCGAGCCCGGCACGGCAGCATCCGCTCGCCCCTGTGGCGCGGGGGTGAGTGGCTGTGGGTCGGAGGAGACCCCCAGATGGGGTGGGGGGGCCACGGCCTGGCTCGGGGGGGGTCACTGAGCTGGGACCCCTCACAGGGGGCATCGCCCACGGGCCGCGGGGTCCCACCAGCTACTACTACATGCTGCCCATGAAGGTGCGAGTGCTGGGGCTGAAGGTGGCACTGACGGTGAAGCTGATGCAGGTACGAGGTCCTCTGTGTTTTGGAGAGGCTCCCGGGGGGATTGGGGATGCAGTGACATCCCCCCCCTTCACCAGCAACGTGTTGCCCCCCCCCACGCCTCACAGGATGACCTTCACATCGTCGACAGCCTGGAGATACCCACTGCTGATCCCCAGTATCTGGTGGACCTGGCACAGTACCGGCACTGGGGCCGCTCCGTCCTCATCGTCGACGTGTGAGTGCAGGCAGCACGGGCACGTGGGGAGCCCCAGGGACAGGCAGGGCTGCCTGCATGCTGCCAGGGGCTCTGGGGGGGCGGGGGGTGTCCCCCCCAGTCATTTCACCCACTTTCTTCCAGCAACAAGATGCCGGAGAACATCGAAACTGCCACAGCCAGTTTGAAAACCATCAACCTGATCCCAGCGTTAGGTGAGAGCTCTGCAGTGACTGCGGCTGCTGTCCCCAGGGACCCCCCCCAAACCTGTCAGGGATTCCCCCAAACCTTTTGGGGACCCCCCCAAGCACCAGCTTCTCGTGTCTCTGCAGGTCTCAATGTGCACAGCATGCTGAAGCATGAGACGCTGGTGCTCACGTTGGACACCGTCACCTTCCTGGAGAAGAAGCTGCTGTGGCACGACACCCGTTACTCGGCGCTCTACCCCTTCTCCATGCCCTACAGTGACTTCCCCTAGCCCCCCCTCCCCGGCCAGGGTGAGACCACCCCCCCAGGCAGGATCTGGCCCCCCCCCTGGCAGAATCCAGCCCCCATCTCTTTGGAAAGGATTTTTGGGGGAGCACCACGCGCTGCCGTGGCCATTAAAGTGAGGTTTCTCAAGGCTGTGGCTTTTCTTTGTCCTGGGGGGGGTTGTGGTTTGCTTCCACCTCCCTTTGGACACCCCCCCCCGGTATTTGCAGTCCCTTTGCAGCCCCCCTGCCATATTTGCAGTCCCTTTACAGTCCCGTTCCCCCCATATTTGCAGTCCCTTTATGGCCCCCCATATTTGCAGGACTGTGGGGTGCTGTGTGGATTCAGTGTCTGTGGGTGGCCGGGATTTTCAGGGCCACCGTGGCAGAGGGATCTGTGTCCCCCCCAGCAGCAAGCCCAGCACGACGCCCCCCCCCCCCCCCCCCCCCCGCCAAAGGGCAGAGCTGGCGTCCCCCCCCCCCCGCTCCATGCCGGGATCGTTTGCCAGAGCTGGCAAGTGTTTTGTTGGGAGCTTGTCTCTCTGGGTCTTATCCGGGGACGGCAGTCGGGGTTTCTGGGTGTCACCGGAGAGGCAGGAGGAGGAGGAGGGTGGGCCCGGCTGCTTCGCCACCCCCCCCCCCCCCCCCCCACTGCCAGCCAGGGCTCTGGTGTGAGAAGGCGGGGGCCAGTTGCAGAGGAAAGGGAGGAAATGGGGTAAGAACCGACGCTTCCCTTGCTGCCTGCCAGCAGCACCGCGCTTATTGGAGCCGGATGATGGATCCCTGCCGGACCTGGGGGGCGATGGCCTTACTCTGCCTCCTCGTGCCGGGGGGTGAGTTGGGGTGTCCCCCCCTGCCCTTCCTGGGCTTCACAAAGGGGAAAACTGGGGACGCTGGGACCCCGCCAGTGTTGCGGTTGGGTTCCGGTGCATGGGGCTTCCTGCCAGCGAGGCGGTGGAAGAGGCTGAGGGTGATTTAGAGGATCCCAAGGGGGGTCCCCGGTGCCGGCCCCCCACCATGGTGCTGGTTTGGGGGTACGATGGGGCCGGGCATAGCACCACAGGCATTGCGGGGGGGGGTGCCAGTGTGCAAGCAGCTATTTATTTGGCCACATTCCGGGCAGGACATGGCTACCGGGTGCCGGATCCCCTGCCCATGCCTCTTTGGGGGGGTCGCACCCAGGGCTGGGACCTCAACCGGGTCCTCCTGTAACAGGGTGCCCTCTCCCAGGGCACCCTGGTCCTTGCCGGGTGTCCATCTACCCCGAGGAACCGACGGTGGAGTTTGGCAGCTCTCTCCTCCTCAATTGCACCAGTTCTTGCCGTAACTACAGCCGGCTGAACTGGGAGGTCTCCACCACCAAGATGGGGATGCAGGGACCCGGCTGGGTGTCCCTCAGCATCCCCAACGTCACCAGCTGGAGCTTGGAGCTCCAGTGCTTCGGCATTTTCGGGCAGCAGCGGAATATCGCCAAGACCACCCTCCACGCTTACCGTAAGGACCGAGGCACGGCGGGGGGACAGGGGTCCCGGCACGCTCCCAGTCACCTCCACCCCCTCCTTGTCCTTCCCCACAGGGTTCTCGCCTCCCCAAATTTACCTGGAGGGTGACACGGTGGCTGGCAAAGAGGCGCGTGTCACCTGCAACGCGTCCGCCCAGGTCTCCCCCCACGACCCCCCAAATCTCCACCTGACGCTGTGGGGTGGGGGGCTCCCCCCCAGCACCCACCGAGGTCCCTCCGTGGGGTTGAGTTTCACGGCGCAGCTGGAGCAGCACGGCCAGGAGGTGATGTGCGAGGCCGTGTTACGGCTCGGGCGCCGTACGGTCAACGCCAGCGCCGTGGTTACGCTGTGGGTCTGGGGTGAGTTTGGGGACAGGGACGTGGGGGGGGGGGAGGCGTAAAAACCCCTCGTGGTTGGAAATGCCGGTGCCGCGGCGTGAACCCTGGGTGCCCCGTGGTCAGGGTGGTCTCTGGCATCAGGGTGGGGAGGAGAAGGGGCACCCAGCCAGGCTCTGGGTGCTTATTCCCCGCCCCCCCCCCCCCCCCCCCAGCTGCCCCCCACGATGTCCAGGTGTGGGCACCGCAGACCACCTTCACCACCGGTGACAACCTCACAGTGATGTGCCGGGCAGAGGGGAACCCCCCACCACAGCTCCACTGGGAGATGCCCACCAACACCAGCTGGGAGCTGTGGGACGGCGGCACCACCATCACCATCCCGGCTGCCCAACGGGTTCACGACGGCACCTACCGCTGCCTGGCCGAGAACCACTACGGCGCCGGCGCTGCCAGCATCGACCTTGTCTTCCGAGGTGAGGGGTGCCTGCGGTGGCACCTGGTGGCACCCAGTCCCGCACCGGGGCTGGGTGCTGCGGTGAGGGGTTGGCACAGCGCGGGCGTAAACGATGAAGAAGGTGATGGAGGTGGCATCTCCCAGCGATGCCAGTCCCGGTGCCCGGCTCAACCCCATCCTCTCCCCGTAGGATCCTCCCGCAGCCCCCTGATCCCCGTGGTCGTGACCTTGGCCGTGGTCACCGTACTGGCCGTTGTCGCCGTCTCCTGGTGGCTTTATCGCACCCAAGGCTGGAAGCTGATGCCTAGCTAGCCCAGCTAGTCCTGCCTTGCCAAGCCGTACGTGGGAGCAAAGAGCGAATTTCCTCCATGTCTCCGTGTATTTTTTCCCCACCTTTTCCCACTTTGCCAGCTCCGATCTTCAGCGAGGGTGGTGAGTTGGAAGGGAGGGTGAGGCGCCAGCTCTGGGCATCGCTCCCGGCCCCTGGCACTGTGTTGGCTCCGAGGGGAAAATCCTGGGGCAGGTCTGGGCATGGCCCGAGTGGAGCCGTTTCCTGGCACTCATGTGGCTGAGCGTTAATGAGCCACCCTCATTAGCGGGAGGGCAGAGGGACACGTGGGGCGCGCTGGGGTGGCCGTTGCTATCCTGCCAGCCCCTACCTTCACTTTGAGGTCGGGTGCTGGTGGTCCTGGGAGCTGGAGCTCACAGCGAGCGTGCAACGGGGCTTGGAGCTCACGGTGAGCGTGCAACGGGGCTTGGGGCTCGCGGCGACTGTGCAACGGGGCTTGGCGCTCACAGCGAGTGTGCAACGGGGTTTGGCACTCATGGCAAGCGTGCAATGGGGCTTGGAGCGAGTGTGCAGCAGGGCTTGGAGTTCACAGTGAGCGTGCCAGGGGCTGGCTGGCACTGCTGCTGCTCCCGGGTCGGGCTGCTGGGCACCAGCGCAGGGGCAGGGCAGGATCTGTCCCCTGGCACAGGGAACCGGGGACGGGCAGAGCTGTGGCACGGCCGGACGGAAAGGCTGGTGCCTGGCGTACGACGTGGCCGGGAGCCGAGGGCCCCTGTGGCCCCGCCATGTGTTGGCAGGGTGGGGGGACGCCGGGGCAGCCCCTGGCTGGCCCCGCGGCGCAGGAAACACCTCAAGTGTCCGTTCCTGCCGGGAGCTGCCTCGGGGGCCATGGTGGGGATCCTGGCGCGTGGCCCTGTCCTGCACCGGGGGCTGTATCCTGCACAGGGGCCATGTCCCACATTGAGGGGGTCATATCCTGTCCAGGGGGACCGTGTTCTGTCCAGGGGACAGATCCTGGCCACAGCCGTGTCCTGCTCTGAGGGGCCGGATCCTGCACAGAGGCCATGTCCTGCATGGGAGGGGACAGATCCTGCGCCGGGGCCGGATCCTGCACCAGGGTCCACGTCCCACTGGCTTGGTGATGGTGGCTGGGGAGGACCATCCCCCATCCCTGTGGCCGTGCCGCTTCCACCACCAGCGGCATCAGCGCCGGGGCCCCATCCCCC